GTGCAATGGTGCCATCATAGCTCATTGCAGCCTTGAACTCTTGAGCTGTAGGAATCCTCCTGTCTCAGACTCCTGAGTATAGCTAGGACTAGAGGCATGTAATACCATACCAGGCTGATTTTTTTTTTTGAAGTTTTTTTTTTGTAGAGACAGGGTCTCACTGTGTTACTGAGGCTGGTCTTGAACTCCTGGCTTCAAGCATCCTCCCACCTCAGCCTCCCAAAGTGCTCAGATTACAGGTGTGAGCCACTGCCTGAACCTTAATTTTTGGTCCTAGTAATTTGAGTCCTCTCTTTTTTTCTTTATCAGGCTAGCTAAAGTTTTGTCAGTTTTTTTGTTATCTTAGTCCATTTTCTGTTGCTATAACAGAATACCACAGACTAGGTAATTTTTAAGGAAATAAATACATATTTTGCAGTCCTAGAGCCTGGAAAGTCCAGGAGCATGGGCATCAACATCTGATGAGAGCCTTTTTACTGTGTCACAACATGGCAGCAGGCATCACATGGCAAGAAGGCCAGATCTCTCTTCTTCTTATAAAGCCACCAGTCCCATCATGGGGTTCCCACCCTGATGACCTTATCCAATCCTAATTGCCTCTCAAAGGCCCCATCTCTAATCAACATGAATTTGGGGAACACATTCAACCACTGCATTTATCTTTTAAAAGAACCAACTTTTGGGTTTTATTAGGTTTGTCTATTTTACTATTCTCTAATTCATTAATAGTAACTGTATTAATCTTTATAGTTTTCTTCTGCTTGCTTTGTGTTTAGTTTGATCTTCTTTTTCTAGTTGTTAAGTGGAAAGTTAGTTTGATTTGAACTTTCTTCTTAATGTAGATATTTACAGGTATAAATTTCCCTCCATACACTGCTTTGGTTGCATCTCCTGTTTTGATATGTTTTTTTTTTTTTTCATTCATCAAGACATTTTCTAATTTCCATTGAGATTTCTTCTTTGAGCCATTTTTTATTGAGGAGTATGTTAATTTCCATGTATTTGTGCATTTCCAAGCTGTGTTACTGATTTCTAATTTCATTCTATTGTTGAGTGTAATGTTAAGTAGATATCTCTCAGATTTAGGTGGTTTATAGTGTTGTTCAAGTCTTCTGTGTTCTTGTTGACCCATTGCTTAGTTGCTCTAGCCATTATTGAAAGTGAATAAGTAATGTTGAATTGTATATTTTTTCTTTCAATTGTGTTAAATTTTGCTTCATACATTTGGCATCTCTGTTGTTAGGTGCATATATGCTTATAATTGGTATATTTTGCTGGTAGATTGTCAACCTTTTTTTATCATTATAAAATGTTTCTTTAGGCCGGGCGCTGTGGCTCACGCCTGTAATCCTAGCTCTTGGGAGGCCGAGGCGGGCGGATTGCTCAAGGTCAGGAGTTCGAAACCAGCCTGAGCAAGAGCGAGACCCCGTCTCTACTATAAATAGAAAGAAATTATTTGGCCAACTGATATATATATAAAAAATTAGCCAGGCATGGTGGCGCATGCCTGTAGTCCCAGCTACTCGGGAGGCTGAGGCAGAAGGATCACTCGAGCCCAGGAGTTTGAGGTTGCTGTGAGCTAGGCTGACGCCACGGCACTCACTCTAGCCTGGGCAACAAAGCGAGACTCTGTCTCAAAAAAAAAAAAAAAAAAAAATGTTTCTTTAGTAACTTTTTTGTTTTAAAATTTATCTGCTATTGATAAAGTCACTCCAATTTTCTTATGGCTACTCTTTGCATGATATGCAAAACAGAAAAAGTGTCTGTGATGTATCATGTATTTATGTGATATATATGATCTGAATAATTCATAATGCATAAATTATTTAGATTATGATAAATCCAAGTATGTCAAATCAGTGGAGATATTATATAGTATTAATAAATGACACTAGGACACTGAGTTACTAGTTGGAAAAATTTAAATTACAATTCCAATCTTATACTATATGCTACCAAAACAAATTCTAAGTCAACAAAGACAAATATTTTTAAAAAATAAAGAAAAAAAAGGTAAATATATGTATAATTTGGGGGTGAAAAGATTTCTATGGAAAATATAAAAAACTGAAGACAAAAGATAGAAATCGAAACCACCACATAAAAATTTCAAACGTGCATATTAAGAAAATATACAAAGTAAGAAATTAATATGCAAACTGGAAAAAATATTTACCACTTATATTAACAGTGTGCAAAGAACATGAACAATTAACCCACAACAGAAGAAATACAAATGGCCTATGAAAAGACCTTATTAATATGTTATTGATAATCAAAGAAATATAAACTTAAAACAATCTATTTTTTAACTATTAAATTGACAATGATTTAAAAAAGTAGAATGCTGACTGTTGGCAAAGAGACACAGGGAAAGAGGTAGTATTATGTTCTGCTCTTGGAGTAAAAAAACAGTACAATCTTACTGGTCTTAACATTTGAACATAACTATTTCATGCCTATTTCTTTTAATGAAAGAATCATAAATATATGCAAAGATTTAACCACAAACACATTATAGTTTAAATAGCCCTAAACTGAAAAATATCTAAATGTTCAATAATTGGTATTAAAGCATACTACATCTGTATAAGGAAATATTAGAAAGCCCTTAAAAATGTTGTAGAAGATTCAGTGATATGGAAAATTAATGATATTGTAAACTTTAAAAAGTAGGTTACAATGGTATGTACAATATAATTCTATTAATACATAGTATGTATATGCAAAGAAAAATTACCCAAAGGTTAACAATGATCTCTGTTAGCATCATCAGGGGTTTTGTTTACTTTGTGCTTCCCCCTCCCCCCTTGGATTTTTTATGTCTTTTTCTCCCTAAGAAAAAAAGTTAATTTTAAAAATCATCAAAATATTACTTATGCCTATTAATTTGGCAAAGATTATTTAAAAGACAATACACAGTATTGGTAAGGATTTGGGGAAACATGGGCATGCAAAAATGTATGCTGCTAATGGTAGTACAAATTGCTACTAATAGCTTCATTATAAACTTGGCAAAATAAACCAAAATCCTTAAAAACAGAAGTATTTTCAGTTCAGGAATGAAGCAAATTATTGGAAATGGATGCCAAAATGGACATATAAATCCAAATGCCCATTTTTAAGTACACAAATTACATTTGTATGAGGTAATAGTATGTATTAAAAGTCATATTGTAGGATTCTTGAGAAAGGACAAAGGTCAGCATATTGAGGGAAATACATTAAATATTATGTATCATAATAAGGCTGACTTAATATAAGAACATATTGTATTAATTTCCTAGAGCTGCCATAACAAATAACCACAAACTAGGTGATTTAAAACAACAGAAATTTATTACCCCACATTTCTGGCCAAAAATGCAAAATGAAGCTGTTGGCGGGGTTGGTTCATTCTTGGAGCCTATGGAAGAGAAAAGTTTCTTGCCTTTCTCCTAGTTTCTGGTGGTTGCTGGCAATCCTTGGTGTTCCTTACTTGTAGCTATGTCACTCCAATCTCTGCCTCCTTTGTCATTCCGCCTTCTTGCCAGTGTTTGTGTATCTTCTCCTCTTGTTCTATGGATACTACTCACTGGATTTGGGGCCCACCCTAATCCAGGATGACCACAACTTAACTACTTAACATCTAACAAGATCCTATTTCCAAAATAAAGTCACATTCTGAGGTTCTTGGTTTACATGAGTTTTTGGAAGATACTATTCAGCCCACTACATGTATGTAACACAGAAATACAACAGACTGGATGTATATGTATCAACAGTGTTTATCACTGGGTGGGTTTATGGATAATTTGAGTATGTGCTTTTCTACACTCTGAAATAAATAGCTTATATACTGAAATTGCATTTATATAGATATTAAATTCTAAAGTCAAGGTATAGAGTGATTATGTGTAGTCAAGAATCACTTTTTCCTTATAAGCCCACAAAATACAGAATACATCATTTATACATATACCTTCTCTAAAAAACATCTAACATAGGCAGTTCTTCTTCCAGCACTGGAATACTGTTCCTGTTCTTCTGGGTGAGTACTAGATGAAGTAATTGGCTTGTGTTTATATGCTATGTTTTACAAAACAGAAAAAAAAAAGATTTTCTAAACATGAAAGTATAGTTGAATATGTTCAAGTTAAATGGGCATATGAGACTCTACTACTTTATTTTTATAATTAGAGGATAAACTATTTTCTTTAATGTTTACAAAAATTACTACCAGTAATGGCAATGAGTTAGGAAAAATTCTTAACACCAAGGGAAAAATAATTATTGATTTCCAAAATATATTTCTTAGAGGTTAGATATGTCTGAGTCTTTCTGGATTTTTTAAAGGTCCAGAAGAAAACAAAATAATATTTACTTAAAAAAAATAATAATAATATTTACTTTTTGGCATGCGATAGAGATTAGGGTTTAATAATTTGAATTCCAACAAGAAGCATTTTCTATATTTTGTAACCATCAATATCAATGGGTTGACAATGAAAGCAAATCAAAACAAAAAATTGGCAACATTTAAGATGATATTGTGGGGTGGGTGCGGTGGCTCACGCCTGTTATCCTAGCACTCTGGGAGGCTAAGGTGGGAGGAGTGCTTGAGGCCAGGAGTTTGAGACCAGCCTGAGAAGAGCAAGACCCTGTCTCTATAAAAAACAGAAAAATTAGCCAGGTATAGTGGCGCATACCTGTAGTCCCAGCTATATGAGAGTCTGAGGCAGGAGAATGGCTTGAACCTAGAAGTTTGAGGTTGCAGTGAGCTATGATGATGCCACAGTACTCTAGCCCAAGTGACAGAGTAAGACTCTGTCTCAAAAAAAAAAAAAAAAAAAGATATTGTGGATATAATTATAATTAGAGTCAATTTCTGTGTTTTAAAAATTCTTCGAAAGTATACTTTCTTTTTAAAGATTTATGACTATGGTTTGTCATAACTGAAGATAAATTATACATCAAATTTAATTTAAAAAGTATTGTCATGTACAGAGGCTGACATCATGGGTAGTCAAAGAATATGTTTAATAAAAAATAATTAAACTTCCATTTGCTCTATAGAACATCATAGAAAGTAATTTAATAAATTACAAATGACTTTTTAAGACGTTTGCTCAACTACAGAAAGCAAATTCAGACTACACAAAACACAACTGGTAAATATTGCAAATGTCCAAAAGAAAAATTGGACTAAGACTTGAATCATGAAACCTGAAACAAGGGCTATAAATACAAGGGAATAACAGCTATAATTCTTTTAGTAACTACCAACACATACTTGAATATCCTTTCAACTGCAACTTTAGTATTATGTAATTCTACTGATTTTTTTCCTTATAACCCTTAACTTTACACAACCATATTTGCATGTTTTTTCCTTAGCTGATAACTGGATTTTTCCCCAATCAATACTAAATACAAGTGTCTTGAAACCTAAGAGAATGTTTAAAGTTAATATTAGCCTTAATGCTTTGAGAACTGTAATTGCCTTATTACATAGAAAGAGAATTACTAGGATGTTAACCAAATTCATTTGACCATAATTAGGAAAATAGTTTATCTCATAAATTTGATATAAATTAGATTTTAGTGACAAGATCTAGAGATTTTTTTTTCCTTTTTTTTTTTTTTTTTTATTGGGGAAAGAAAGGAATAAAGATCATGTGGGTAGAACTAAAGGGAAGAAGAGAAATCTGGATGTTATTGAAATACTCCACTGGCAAACTAAGTTAACTGTGTTTGAAAAACTTTGGCTATCTCATAGGTGTGTCCTAGTTAAACAAAAGTGCAATACTGCAAAGGGAAGATACTAAATATGTAATATATCATTTCCATGATGAAGAATTACTACCCACTTCTCCTGGATGGGCATTATAGTGACTATTGCTAAGACATTGCATAAAGGACTATCAATTCAAAGTACTATTTTGGGAAAATACAAAATCAATACAATCCCAATGGAACTTATATAATTTTGTAAATACATATAACACTGTCTCTCTAATAAGGGGTTAGTTATTTTACATACAGAAACATAATTTATTGGTAAAGGTCTTGGAAAACCTAATACTATTGCTTAATTCATGACAAAGCAACAGTTCTGTCGAGGCATACTGAAAGTTATTTTTTTCTGTAGGAGAGAACCGGGGTGCTATTCCCCCTAAATTTATCCCCTTGCAAAAGTTACCACTGACTTATTTGAGTACCAGAAAATGCTAACATTTATCTCTCCATAGAATGTAAATATTTTTATGTCTAATTCAGTTCTAATTGTTTTAAATGTATATGAAGGTGAACCTGGACCTCTACCGTGTCAGAATAATAGCAGCTTTAGCAGGAGAAATTGTATTATAAATCAATTATCAGACAAATTTTACATGGTAAAGGGTTTTAAGAAATTGAACAGAAGCCTTGGGCTTCATTTTTGTGGTTTACAGGTATAACTTGTACATCTTTTTGAGATTATTCAAAGTGCATTTCAAAATGGGCAACTCAGTATATTTAATATAAACTGATAACCCAACACTGATTCTGGGCAACATTTAGTCTGCTTATACCTAGAAACTCAAAATGAATTTAGACGATCTGCATATTACTTTACCACTATTTGTTAATTTTGGAACATTTCCATGACATAAAACACAAATAGAAATCTACACAAATAAAGCAAACAAACAATTTCTTTTACATGAAGTATGCTGTGTTGAAAGTTCTTTTCAGTGGCATTTCATGAGTTTGCCTTTTCTGAAACCTGGAAACAGACATTATTCATCTGAGACATAATTATTTCTAATAGGAGGCCAAACTTTGAAAAGTTAAAACGAAGTATGTCTATAGGGTGCCAAAGTCACTTGACACAGGATTATTTTATGACTTAATTTTACTGATATCGAGTTAAGCTCAGCAAAAAGCAAGTCATATTTCTTGCCAGATTAACATGATATATAGGATGTGTTTAAAAAACCCCTGAAAACAAGTATAGAATTAGAAACGAATGTAAACTTCCTAAACTAACTCAGCTGAGGTAACAGGTAGCCAGTTAAATTGGCTGATTGGGAAACTTATTTCTTCTTTAAAACATACTTGTACCTGAATTGGAAACATCAGCAGTGCATCACAACACTAGAGCATTTTCATGTAATTAAAGCAATGGATGGTGATGTAGATTCTACAGCTTTCATGACATTCATTAGCTGCCCAAATTATTGCTGAGTTTTGATCTGTAAATTATAGGTGTCAAGGAGGCTGTAAAACTATATTCAAATTAAATCAGTAATATGCATAAAGTATTCTGTGTTCACTGCAAATATATTAAATATACAATTCTTATTGAGCATAATTTTCATAAAATTAACCCCCAACAAAATTATAATGCCTTTTGTTGTAATTTTACACCTTTATGTATTTGATAGTACATACGAGTTCAGAAACTTATGAATCTTAAGAAATATTACATGCAAAACGTCTCTGAAAGCAGTGTGCACTTCTAAACAAATAACTGAAATGTTCGGTCAGTAAGTTATTGATGCACTCAACACTGGGGTATTTACAATTAATAATTAAAGAAAAAAATCCAAAATCAGTTCATAATTTAAGTGCAGAGTCTGGGAATCAGTCTTCATTACTAGAATCTGAATCCTCGGATGATGATGATGTACTATCAGAGCCCGATGAAGCATCAGCTTTTTCTGAACCCTCATCTGTGCTGTTTTCATTAAGAGGACTTGGTTCAGTACCCCCTTTGTCTTCCTGATCTCTAACTCTGGAATCTTCTTCCTTTACTTCTACAGACTTAGATGAGCCTAAGTCACTGTTTTTGTTTTTCTGTACATCAAAAGTATTGGACTGGGACAAAGTTGGAATATGAAGATTAAGGCCTGGAGTGAGAAGCATCCCTGGGTAAAGTATGTTAGATAGTAACAGTGGGTTAAGAGCTAACGGGTTGGCAGCTGCAGCTGTGTTTAATGCAGCAGTAGAGGATGTCGAAGGAGAACTTGACACAGAGTTTTCTCCACCATGCTCTGAACTTTGGCTCTCTGTCCTTTCTTTTTTTCCTTCTAGCTCCTTAGAGTCATTTCCCTTTTTCTCTTCTGTCCCAGATTCTGTAGGCTTTGTCAGGAGTCCTCCCATGCCCAACAGATTTGGTAATCCAGCCATTCCTGACAGTAGCATGGGGAACATAGCAGCCACGTTTTTAGCTTCTCCTCCAGAGGCAAGGCCGGCAGGCATTCCCATCAGCCCTGCAGTTACTTGTAGTGACTGCAAGTTTTGCAGGTTTTGTTGTAAGGCCTGAAGAGTTGTGAGATCCACACCTGGAAGTAATCCATTGGCTAACAAAGGATTGCCTGAAACACTGGTGGCAGATGCAGCTGCTGCTACTGTGGCCTTCGCGATTCCACTTTTAGGCCGTCTCCCCCGCCTGCTTACTTCCTCTCTCACAACGGGACCAGTGAGTATACGTTCATACATACTTTCTGGAAGAAATCCCTGGAAGTGATATATATTCATTAATAATAGCTACATAAAATAAAATCAATAGCTATTAGCTCATCATATAAATACCCTATTAAATATTTGTAAATTGATTCTGTATTGATATAGTTCTTCTACTTTCCATTTTATCATAGAATAAAATAGAGCAGAAAGAGGCTGTGAGCCTTCCTCCATATTGTGAGACATAAGTTTGTATAACAGTTCTAGAAAACATAAGGTCCAAGGAAATTTTTTCATGGGTCTTCCATAACCCTTACATGTTTCATATCAGCACTTGTTCTAGAAGACCAAAGAAGTGGCCCCTTCTCATTGGGAAGAATAATAAAGAAAGGATAGGGGAAGTGAAAGGTGAAGGCTAAAATGAGATGCTTCATATGGATTTTTTGACTATCACTTTGGGAATAAGAGAGACAGACCCAAGCTGAAAAAGATACTCAAAAGGGGGAAAGATCACCTGGCTCAGAACAGCAGTAGCACCTGCAGATTGGGACCCACAGAGTCTAGAAAAAGGCAGAAGAAACTATGCTACTTTCATGTAATTCTCCCATGATTTTCTGGTTCATGGAATATTTTATTAATTATTTTTTTGTTTAATAATATTTTTTTCTTCTTTTTTTTTTTGTTGAGCAAAGTCACTTACTGTTAGGCAAGGATACTAATTCTTAATGTAAAACTCAATTTAAGATATAATTGAATGGCATTTAATTTTTAAAATGATGTATGAGTTAGTATTTGTGAAATACTCACAGATTGCTTAACAACATCTCCCCATTCAGGAGCTACTCCATATTCTGAATTTTCTTTTAGAAATCTACATAAATCTTTCAAAGGGGGAGCAAATGCACCTCCAACCTATAAATGAAAAATAGAATGTTAAATACTTAAAACACTATTAAATATGAAACTATTTCTTGCTTTTATTCTGTGTTCTATAGTTTATTTCCTTAAAATACGTACTTTTTGAACCACCTTCGACAATCTTTATGATATTAAAAAGGACCACCACAACCCATACAGATACTGATATATAAATTTTAAATGGTTTGAGTCCAATAACTGGAACATTAAACTGAATAACTACCATTTACTGTGTACTTCCTATGTTGGATAGGCAGTGTAGCCTAATTAAGAGTGAATTCAAGCAAATCAGTAAATCTCTTAGAGCCTCAGTTTTCTGATCTGTAAAATGGGGATAACAATAACACTTCCCTCATAAGGTTTTATTAAGATAAAGGGAGACAATTGAAGTGTCTTAGCATAATGCCTGGTACATAATAAATATAAGGTATTCTTGTATGCCAAGTATTGTGCTAAGGACTTTTAAGTGTATAACTTATTTTAGTTCTCACTACATCTTTCTTAGATAATATTATTTCTATTTTTCAAAGGAAGGAAATTTATGTAATTTGCCTAAAGTCAGCTAATAAATGTTAGGGTCAGGGCCAGGCACAGTGGCTCACGCCTGTAATCCCAGCACTCTGGGAGGGCGAGGTAGGTGGATCGCTCAAGGTCAGGAGTTCGAAACCAGCCTGAGCAAGAGTGAGACCCTGTCTCTACTAAAAATAGAAAGAAATTAATTGTCCAACTAAAAATATATAGAAAAAATTAGCGGGGCATGGTGGTGCATGCCTATAGTCCCAGCTACTCGGGAGGTTGAGGCAGGAGAATTGCTTGAGCCCAGGAGATTGAGGTTGCTGTGTGCTAGGCTGAAGCCACAGAACTCTGGCTCAGGCAACAGAGTAGGACTCTGTCTCAAAACAAAACAAAACAAAACAAAAAAAGTTAGGGTCAGGATTCAAACCCAGGTTTCAAAAACCCATATTCTTATCTATAATGTATATTGACACCCTGAAGTACTTTGTATGTGAAAAGTGATAAAACCAACCAATCATAAGTACATTAAAAAATTTAAAAAACACTACATATGATAATTAGTATGATATCGAGACAAAATGTTATTTTGAAGTTTAAATTAAGAATATTATATCTGGGCCAGGCGCAGTGGCTCACGCCTGTAATCCTAGCTCTCTGGGAGGCCGAGGCGGGCGGATTGCTCGAGGTCAGGAGTTCAAAACCAGCCTGAGCAAGAGCGAGACCCCATCTCTACTATAAATAGAAAGAAACTAATTGGCCAACTGATATATATATATAAAAATTAGCCGGGCATGGTGGCGCATGCCTGTAGTCCCA